TTAATTTCTTAATTAATAATGGAGAGGCACATGGTTGGACCAGTGCTGATTATTTTTTAAGGAACAGGGACTTATATGAAATCTTGGCACATTACACCCCAAATTACACATAAAAAATCTGAAATTAAAAATACATAATATTCTATATAGATTCTTGCATCGTCTTCTTCCCCAATGGCTTTTCTGGACACCGAAATCAAAGTGCAATCCTTATGCGAATCCAACGACTAACCCCAAAACATTGGACATGTCGCAAGATCCAAAGGCTTGAACCAGTCCAAAACGCATCTAAATAGCTGAAGGAACATCGACAGTTGCATCGTCAGGTACGACATAGGCTGCAGAATCGGAGAGCTCGAAATCCTCTACGCGGCCATCGACGATGAGATCGATGACCCGGAGTCACAGTCCTCATAGGGGGCTCCCAGAAGCACTCCTCCCCTTGCAGATAAAGACCACAAATTGGCCGTGCATTGATGAAATCAACGCCTACAACGACGATCTCATCCTAGCAATCACCGAATTCATCGCAAGAAAACACGATCCCGACCGAAAATCATCTGATTTCACCGGAAGATTTATTGGACTAAACCCTAATCAACTAGATAGAAAAACTACAGGAAAAAATATGGGTCCTCTCCCCTTCTTGTCTCGGCAGACGCACCAGAGAGGAAGAAGGAGAGGGCCCCTAGGTGCTTGATAAGGCAGCGGCAGCAGAGCGAGGAGCGGTGACGGCGCTGGCGACTCAGATATGAGGCATACCTCTATTCATCCATTGTAATGTTTCTGGACCAGTGCACATTTCATCTTGATAAAAGAATATAAGGTCTCTCTTTTGGTGGAGCTCCTAGCAAAGAAACATTTTTATCTTTTCCCTCAGAATAAACTATGAGCTAGTGAAGCAGGGTTCAAAATTCACCAACATTTACGAATGTTTGTAGTTTCAGGTTAATGCATGTGCTTTATTGCAAGTATTCAACTATAGCCTCACTCATATTTTCTATTGTTTGTGTTTCTCACGTCTAGTTTCAACTTTTAACAACTATATGTATGCTCAGGATTTCAAATTACACAAATAGCGACAAATTACAAAGTACCAAGACACAATTTTACATAGCGATTAACATCCATTACATTAATACATACATCTTAACACAGCACAGCGAAAGATGATTCTTAATCTTGTCTTGAAGCTCCATTCTCCATGGGACAGTTGAGTGGGGAAATATACACACCCCCCCTACTCCTTATAAAACAAAACAAAGATCCACCTTCTGGTATTCATCCATCATTTTACACAAGTAGTGAAATAAAACAAGCATAAGCAACCACTACTTAACAAGCATAATATGAGGTGATGCAGAGGCCCAAAGGCTGGACCACTACTATTGAAAATATTTTTACCAACACTATTTTCATTGACAGTTCTATTAAAGTCGATGGTGATACATTATCACTGCTACATTTGTTAGAAATCGAACATCATAAAATCCTACGCAAGTGCGTGTTGGGCAAAGATCCAAAGAACCGGATTAAATCGAGTGCCCAACATCATGCCAGCAAATGCATGAGACTGAAGGCATGCAAGGGCAGGGCAAATCATATGGCCGGAAATCTTTGGCCGGAGGCCAGAAGGCATGCACGCACGGACACACCCGGGTATGGGTATCGGTATAGGAAACTGTCACAAAGAGGTTCACCTCAGTAGCTAACAGGGCCGAAAAAACACACATCACTACTGCATTAGGTGCAATTAGAGTAAATAATCATAAGGGGCCTGACGTAATGCAGAAGCTAGGAGCAATAAGAGTTACCATATATATATAGTGGTTGACTACATTTGTTGTACGCTACTACTGACCTTCACTACATTCCCATTACTACCACCCTTCACTACTGGTTCATAACTTGAAAATCCGACAATGATTGAGGCTCCTAAAGAACTAGCAAAGAAGGTCCCTCTCACTGCCGGCTTAAGCCACAAGCCGGCAGTGACAAATAGTGAGGGTTCAAGCCATGAACCGGCCGCAGTGCTACTAAGACTATCACTACCGACTGGTGGCTTGAGGTAGCAGTGATAAAAACACAAAATCCTCCTCCTCCTCTCCTCTCTCCCACCCAGAGCACACTCATCAAATGAGGTGCCTTTCCCCATCTCTCCCTCCACCCTTTTTGCAATTGTAATTCATCCACCAGTCTTCAAATACTACTATGTCTTTGAAAAAAATTCTAGATTTTAGACAAAGTAGTAGGTTGGTGGGGGGAGCATCAAGCCTTTTTGTTACCATTTTTGTAGATAAAGGAACTGTATTTCAACATGGAACCATGCGCTGAATATAGGTGGACAAATATAATCACCCTTTTCTTTCACACTCAATTGTAAGGTTACAATCATGGTGTGTAGTCTACATTTAGATAGCCATATAGCCTCCTTGTGTGTGGAATTTGCATTTTCCATATTGGTTTTCCTTAAGTCATATTAGGATGTAATTATATACAACTTTTTTATAGTTAACAATTTATTCCTTGAAAAAAAAATGAGGGGAGAAAAAGACTTCCATTCCCCTCAACTTATCCCTTGAAAGAGTAAGAGTAAGCTTAATTATTGACTTCTTTAAGCTGCCAACTGTTGGAATTACGGGTGAGTTAATGAGTTTCCATAATTCCATGAGGTTTCTAACAGAAGCATTTAATGAGTATGGCTTTAATAGAGGCATAGTAGGAACAGTCCATAGATCACCCACATATATATTAAAAAATATTAAAATTTACGATACATAATTAGGCCTTGTTTAGTTCCTCCCCTAAAGTTTACTCCCTATCACATCGGATGTTTGGACACATGCATGGAGTATTAAATATAGACTAAAAAATAACTAATTGCACAGATTATGACTAATTTGCAAAACAAATTTTTTAAGCCTAATTAGTCCATGATTTGACAATGTAGTGCTACAGTAAACATGTGCTAATGCGCGGATTGATTAGACTTAATAAATTGCCTCATGGATTCTTGACGGATTCTATAATTTATTTTTATTAGTATCCGAACACCCCATGCGACACCCCCACGTGACATCCCTAAACTTTACTCTCTGGATTTAAACACCACCTTAGTATTATTAGATAGATCATTGAATACATTTCCATAATAAACTTATTTGAAGATATGAATGTTTCTAATATTTTGTACAAACCTAGTTAAACTTAAGAAAGTTTGACCAGCATAAGTCCCATAGCGACTCTTTTTATGGGACAGAGTAGTATATATGATGATGTTTTCTCTCATGTACTAAAGACATGACATAACCTATATAGGGTCAGTTTGTTGCCAGCAACACCTAAGGTTAGATGTTTGCCACACTTGTGGCTTGCCACATTTTGTGGTAAAATTAGACTGTTTGGTTCGTCACTAAGGTGTAGCAAAATTTCGATGGTTGTTGTTTGGATGGTTGCCACAAATATTTGACAAAATATTACAATATTACCACATATGGTTAAACTATATTATACTAAATCAAATCAAATTAATAATAGATAAGAAAAATAGATTAAATAGAGATTGATAGATAAGAAATAGTAGCTTAAATATAGATACCGGGAGGGGCTGTGAGGGAGGGTGATGCGGCAAACGCCGGCTGCCCACCAAAACCAACCCGGCCGGCAACTACATCGGCGACACCACGACCGTGGCACCCTCGCTTGCTACTGGCTCCGCGTCCTCGAGCCCAAGGTGTGTCCTCACGACTGGCTCCGCTTCCTCGCAGCCAAGGGCAGCCCCGGAGAAGAACTCGTCGTGGTGGGTGGGGTGAGGACGATAGCGTATCCATGGAGGAGGAGGCGTGGCGACGGAGGGCTTTGTCGCGGAGGTGGAGGAAGACCACGCCACACGTTTGACGCAAAAAAATCGTGGCGAATGCTTGTTCCAGACGTGGCGAGCCTTGTTTCAACAATCAACTAAACACACCTTCCTAAGCACTTGTGGCAAACATAACTTTAGGCGTGGCAGGGTGTGGCGGGGCAACCAAACAGGCTCATAATCTTTACTTCTTTTAAGCATCACCATTAATTACTACGAGAGTTTAGCACAAGCCTAAAAGCATAATATAACCCATGGTGACGAATACGGAATAAGACTATTTTGAAAGTTTGATGGGGGACATTAGTGTGGCTTAGCTATAAATTCCTAGATTATGAAAATAAGTCATTATAATTTATGAGTTCTGCATAATAATTTGTAATTAGTTTGTCTTTTGCTTTATAGCTTTGCACATTGTTTTTTTAATTACTTTACATAAAGCTAATACTTTTTATTGTTATCATATATATTAACTTACACTTAATTTAATATATTTATATTAAGGGGGCTCTGTTTTTAATTTGGTTCTAGGCCACGGAAATCTCGAGACCGGCACTGACACGGCGATCGTGAGAAACCACCCAAATCCCCTAGCTAAGGTCATTGCACTCTCATCTCCCTTGCGAGCAGCACAAAACGGTGACCTTGACGAAAATGACCACACTACAGCCCCGGCCGGCCCCCATGCATTGTCGACGTCAGATTTTCTTCTTTCTCACCTCTCACGAGACAACGACCACAATCAATGAGATGATAGCAATGTTTGAAAGATCGATGATCACGTGCTACAATGGCGGTGTCACGTCGTCCCTGACCGTTGTGAAAGCTGACCACCGAACCGATCGATCGACTTGCTACTGGCGTGGAAGGTACCTAGAAAGCTTGGGAAAGCTTTCCAGCTTCCACGCGCTGGGTGTTGTTGACGTCAGCGCGACCGCGGGCCCGCAGGAGATGAGCGAGGGCGTCCTGGTCTTCTGGATCGATCGAGAACCTTACCCAGCTGAACGAGCTCGGAGTGTCCGGCGGCATCAACCGGAACAACAGCTATAGCCAAAGTTTTTTTTTTCTGGAATACCCTTGTCACTGCAGAGGCTGGCAGCTCGATGAGGACGATCGATAGTCAGGCTGCCCAGGCTACTACTTAAACAAGACTGCGGTCGTCCTGTTCGTGGCCGTTTCTGCCCCCTTGGTGTGCGCAGCGCAGCTCACACTTGTTGCCGCAGGGTTGGTGATGGCTGCTTCCGGTGGCAACATCGAGGTCGAGGAAGCAATTAAGGAGAATGCCGGGGGTGGTCGCCGGCCGGCCTGCCGAAGGCCGACCCGGCGGCGGCGAGCCTGGATGCGGCCCACTGCACCGTGGCCAGGATGGGTTGCCAGAGTGAGTTTTGTATCGTCGTTTCCTTCCATGGGCCCAAGATGGCCCAGCCCACTTCTCTTGACCATTGGCCGGTCCAACAGCCCACCAGGGTCCTGACAACCAGACAGTAAAATCTGCACCCCCGTGTATACGCACCCACATGTTCATCAGCAAAATTGCAGAGCTTAGATGGTTTTCCAGTGTATTTAGTTCAAAACTCACTCTCATCACTGTAAATTGCCAATACAGCATCACCTGGAACAGCATAGCTAGATTAATAACGACAGCGACAGTCTTTAATGCATTGATAAGAGAGACAGTTTGTCATCGGTGTACAAAGATGCCTCTAAAGCACCGAAAAAAAAAAAAGCAACATAACATCAGAGCTGGGTGGTCACCAGCACAAGCTCACAAAATATGACCAAAGCTTGCTGGATGGTCACCAGTCCAGACCTCTGAGAAACACTTAGTAAGGACACTGACTCTAGGACCAAACGATGCCCAAAACAGAGGAACAGAAAAACTTCAGAAAAATACGCTGAGCTCTTCTGAATTCTGATGCAGAAAAACTCGAGGACCCGGATTCGCTAGCAGCGCAGCTTGGATATTTTATGCGTGCGTTATGTGTTCCTTGAGCATATCAATCAACCCTACACAAGCATTGAAGATGTATCAGCGCATTGTCAACCCTACACAAACATTGAAGATGTATCTGCGCATTGTCAACCGCCATCTTAGAACATGTCAGTACTGTAAGATCGTACAAACTTCAAATTTGCCAGCAACTACTGCAGCTTGCTAATAAAAATTTGCAATTCTGGATGGGTAGGACATGGACTTCTGTCCAGATTTCAAGAAGGATTTGCACTTTAGAAGCTAACATGCAAAAAAATGAAAGAAGATTGGGAAATTATATAAAATGGTAGATGCCAATAGCTTGAAGTACATCAACAGAACAGTCTTCTTTCAAAATTTAGTGTCTGATGGGAACGAACTTTGTATTTCACTTCACTCTGTTAGTGCAAGCTGAGGCCGTGATGTAAGATCCAGGCTTTTATATTGGAAATCATTTATATAAGACAAACAAATAGTAGTATTTTGACCACTTCATTGTTTCAGATACATTGAAGAGACTTAAGCGCATGGAGTTTTACTAACATATCCAAATTCAAGTCATAGGCACAGGCACTATACCTCCATGTCGACATCATTATCCTTGGATGCTTCACCTGTCAAAATGAAGAAACACATGTTGGTTAAATCTTTGTGTTGTAATTATGTCGAGAATTTATTAATATTAAATAACTAGTTAGGTCCTAATCCCTAATCTACAATTCCTAAATTAGTACCATGTAAGGATGAATGCATTTTCTAGGCACATTGTGAGTATTCAGCCATTGAAACTGAATAGGTATTTATGATAAGTAATATTCTGTAAGTTTTATCATCATATAAATGAAGATGAAGGAAAGCTTCCGCTCAACCGAATGTCAAGGAAAGTAAAGCATTATCAGTACTCTGCAGGCCACTCTATAGCAAATAATCAGGCACAGTTAAACTTGACATCCAAGTTATTTATATCATTATAGGCTGATTACTAATAATTGTTTATGCCTAGCAACTCCCTCATCAAATCTTCTGTAGTGACTCTGTGGTCTGCAAAATGTGTGCATATATTTTCACTTGAAGTTAAGTCATTGTTCCTCCATATGGCAGATCCAAGTACCCACTAGCCATTATTCTACGAGGAATTTGACAGCTTATAAGTTATACTACAAAATAATCTAGATGAAATGAAAAAGGACATACAAGCAAATTTCTACTACTTGCTCTTTCTACAGAACAAATTATATTTTAAGATGATACCATATAAAAAAGGAAGTTACAACTTCATTTCTTGTCTCCGATAAAAAGGTTTATGTGACCATTAGTTAACGGTAAGTATTTTTGCAAAGATGGATTACCTCCAGTTAGTTCTGATGTCCACAATGCTAAGTTGTCCTTCAGAAGCTGCATCATAAGTGTGCTATCCTTGTAAACCCCTTCACCAGAATTTATCTCAGTAAGAGCCTCATCAAATGCTTGTTTTGCCACTTGGCAAGCTCTGAAAAAAGAGAGGTAACCATGAAACTCAGAGACTGAACTTGATGCAATTAAACACTAGTGGCCTGTCAAGCGGCATACTGGAATGACACCACATCTATCACGTGGCCAAATGCAGCTTCCAGGAGGGGGGAAAAAACAAACATAATCTTAAATGCCTTTCATAGAAAAGGGCAGAACAAATGAATCTATCATGCGCCCAACTAGCATCCAGTGGATTCAGACTGTAAAACGCATTTTAACTAAATATTGTGTTCGTGAGGTTTAATTATGCAAATGGCTAAATGTCTCAAAATGCCTTTTGGGAAAAACAAAATAATTTAACTTAGTAATAAAGCATCTGCAGCAGGTGAATGGTTTATTTGAAAAAAGTCACCTCTTTGCAAGTAAGCCCATGTTTCAAAACATGTAACATGAGTGGATAGGAATATCTATGAAATTGAAACATCAATGAAAAGGGAGAAACAAGCCATTGAAGATGAGTGACCTCTCATGAGAGTTCATTATCTCATAAAAGAAGACCGACAAATTGAGAGCAAGGCCAAGCCGGATCTGGTGGGCAGGTGAGAGCTCACTGGAGGCGACAACCATGGCATGCTGCAGCAAATGTTTGTTATTTTAACAGGAAGGGATAGGCTTTACCGAAAAGTTCATTTGAGCCCATGTATAATATTTGGAAGATTTAGCACCTGATAGGCCATAAGTGACTGATCAGAGTCAGCTTTCCTTTCAGTTCCAGTGCTAAATTCAGCCAAGTAACGATAGTAGTCACCATTCCTGCAACAGTCTAGGAGTCAAATCTAAAGCAGGTAAGGAAAATATTGTAGGACAGGAGTACGATGTCAACATGCATGCGCTACGGTGGAGACATTATCAGTGAAATGATAGAGAATCAGACCTAATGTCAATAGATTACCAGGGCCACACATAGACCACGTAAAATTCCTTGTATCATCCTACAGCGTCAGATACACAATGGACTGATCAAGCACTTCAGAACTACTGAAACACCATTCGATTGTCCAATGTTGATGTATCCAAAACAGTCATGGACAGGATAATGAGATACCAAGATAATCATGGTAATTATTTCTCAGAAATAAAGTAGGTTATTTAAAAAATTTCACTATACTTACCATATAATGGAAACAATTTTGTAAGACTGAAAAACACTCATATATAGTGACTTTCATAATAAAGAGACTAAAATGAAGGCCAATGTAACAAAATCTCATATCATTATTTTAAAGCAGCTTGACTCGCTGAACATCTGGAGACCGGCAGATGGCTCAGCTATTTAAACTTATTTCTTTTCCTACCTTTTTGAACATCTTACCTGATAACACACTATTACAAGAAAGCTTTACATGTATTGATAAACTGAAGAAGCTTCAGCTAAATCCAGTACTTGGTAGCAACTCCACTAGGAAAGAAGTGGCTTATTGTTTTCTTTATTGAAAAATAGATAGTAAAAAAAGGGCGTGCCCAGCAGAGAGCTCCCGCCTGCATGGGTCTGGGAAAGTGTCGTGGCAAGCCTTATCCTTCATGCAATGCGAGGAGACCATGACTCGAACCCGGACCTTCCGGTCACAAAGTGGTAAGACTCTACCGCTTGCACCAGGCCCGCCCTTCTAGTTATCGAAAAATAGATAGTAAATCATCTAAATCTAGTACCATTACGAGAAGTACCTTTGTGCTTCTCTAAAATGTGCACAGATTCTAAAAAGCATACAATGAATATTGTGATTGTGTATATCATTTCTTCATATCCTTTGCTTTGGCATATATATTTTATTTTATTTGCATAAGTAATGCCACATTTTAAAACAAAAATAGGAATTCCAACGAATTCTAGCACAAATATATAGTCAAGTGAGCGGTGAGCCATGGATATATGACCCACAACCTATCAAACCATAACCAGACAGTTTATCCCCACCCCACCCCCACCTCCACACACACACACCATTTTCTGGAGCTCCTGCTACCATAATGATGATCAATCATGAAAGCTTTGCAAATGATTTACCACAAAAACTTTTGGAGGAAATGAGCTCTTCAAAAGAGATTTTGAGCTCAAAATTGTACTGTCTTGGCAAAAGCAATATCAATTTACCTGGAAAGTTAATGAGATACCGATAGAAAATAAACTCTGAACATAATCATTAGAAAATAGGGCATCATCGGAAAAAGCGAAAGGCAAATAAGAAACAGATTGCTGAATCAAGGAACCTGTACATACATCTTATAAAAGAACACGACATTTTCACCCGCATTGGCCAAGGGAAGGCAATGAATAGCGATGATTGACAATACTTCATTGCAAACCTTCCTTAGTTCATCTTCTACTTTCTTTTTATAGGCATCTATCATCACACCAGTCTGACGATCAGTTGTGACCTTTTGCTCATGTGAGCAAATGATTCTCCATGATGCTCTCTTTGCCCCGATAGTGTTCTTGAAACCAACTGAGAACAAATGCCTTTCTTCAGCACTCATATCCACATCCATCCTAGCAAGATTCTTCATGAATTCCACCATATCTGCCATAATAATCATGGATTGAGTTAAAAATTGAAGAATTACTTTAGTGAATTTTATGTCATGTTTCCATTTACTTCCAAAAGTTCTTAGATTTGCCAAAGAAAGAGGAAGATGACAGCTAAACTGATCCTTAGGAGGCAGGAGGTTCCTATAAACAAGAAGAATGGAGAACTGCAGACCCATAACGGTGTCTGCACTTTTCAGAGGGAATATTAAAGCTTACATGGACACAAGAACCTCATAGTACACCTCCAAGAATAACGCAACAGGGGCCTTTATGGAAGTAGTCATATGTTTTTTATGTCCAAATGTTCCTATTAGTGCTCAGGTCCATATATTGACTGACAAGTCCCAGGTTAAAGAATCCTAGAGAACATGATGAAATAATTTGCAGTATAAAAAAATAAGTGATATATAAGCATCCAGTTGTGGCCAAATTGCTAAAAAAAAATTGGGTTCCAGAAGTTGGGCATAACAATTCGAAGGAGTCTAGAATTATGCCCATTCCAGCATAGTGGGCACAAGGCCACTAGATGAAACCACTCTAGACAGCAGAAAGGATATGACTTTATATATTGCTAAACTTCTTTTCACACTAAACTAAAATCTGAATGTGAACATAGATGTTGGGTTCCACAGCTTCACTTATTCAACACCTGTAGAGTCTAATAGAGATCATTGGTACCAAGCCTATAAATAGAATGTGTAGAGATATATTTACTTCTTCTTTTTTCTCTTCTCATTGCATCACCCATGATACCAAGATCATTCCTTTTCTCATAGCAACATCAAAGGCAGTAGAAAAGCGACTCAAGGGGCATTCATAGAATTGGCCCCCACAAACCATTGGACACAAATAATTTCGTTAGTCCCTTCAGCAGACACAAATCGACATAACTAGAAGTAACAGAAACGTGTCAGAAATACTCATCTATCGCAAGATTGGCCCACAAATCGCCATAAAAATCATATCTTTATTTATATCAGAACAGAATACGCCTTCCCCCAGCGTTTCTACAAACAATTCATACAGTCCAAAAATCAACAAAAAACCAACTGAAATTAGCCAGGAATCGTTACGCAGAAGGGACGCAGTGATCGAACTGCTGCGGATTCTGAGGATTTTTTCCTCCGATACAGAAAGAAAAATCCTAAAACAAAACAGTTGCTGCGGTGGCCGGCAGGTTACTGTTCATGAGTTCAAGCAAGTAAAGCAGAGACCGAAACAAACGCGCCTAATCGAAGGCCAAAGACACCTAATTCCGTTCCGCCTAAGAAGAGACCACGGATTTCCCCAAAATGCAGGGCACCGACCACCAAGAACAACACTACATACTCCAGTGCATACAGGCATTAAGCACGGGCGCAAGAATGAGATCCCTCACCGTCGTATCGCTCCGCCTGCTCGGCGAGCTTGGCCAGGAACACGAGCTTCTCCCGCTCCTCCATCTCCTCCGCCGGCCGCCGCTGATCCCTGGCTCCCTCTCTCCCAACTCCCCAGTTCCCCTCTTCTCACTTTCCTAAAACGGAAGGTGTGCTCCACTCTGCCTTTTTCTTCTTTTGGGACCGCCGGACCGGATGGCTCAGTTCTTGCTGTGGAACCATGATATATGTGGTGGCATCTGATTAGCAGCAGCAGGAATGATTTTTGTGTAATCTGAATGACGATGTGAGTACGTATCCGATAGCGATTTTTCGTGTGGCCCAAATGGTGACAGACTGACAGCTGGGTGCTTCGCTTTGGCCCACGGGAAGTCACGTCCTTGAGAGCATGACCACTAAAACGGACGGAAAAACTCCTCTCTTATTTCTGATTCTATCTTTTTTAAGGAAACGGAATCGGGTTCGGAAAAAAAAAACGGACAAGGATATACGGAAATATGGAAACAGACAAATATAGACGGAGAGCCAGAAAAATAAGTTAGAATAACATGCTCAAATATTCTTGAATATACATGAACAAAGTCACTAAATAATATACACGTACGAAATTATGGGTCCAATATTCACTAGTAAACCATGTGTTAACATGTTAACATGCATAATTTATGATTAGTAGGTTTATGAACATATCAATTTCTAGACATATCTCACATCGATTGAAAACGGGATGAAAAACGGAATAAATACAGGTCAATTCTGGATAAAAACGGGATCTCGTGGAAACGAACGGAAAAACCCCTTTCCCGTTTCCATAAACGGGATCCCACAAATACGAAAATGGACGAAAGAAAGTAGAAAACGGAACTGGTCGAAACCGGATTTTTTCCGTCCGTTTTCAACCTTAATGACCACACATTGCTCTAGTCCCGAATCTTTTTCTTCCCCCTCCTACCTTTCTCCCTCTCATTTTCAAGCATAAACCAACTCCGTGGTAGGTTGATGACTCAAAAAGTAAATCATGAGCTAAAGATATGTTTGACTCGTCATCTTTAGTATTCATCTTGTAAAGAAATATATCAACAGTGACTAGGCTATGTGGGCAAGTGGTATTTGTCATATTTTTATATATATCCTGGACAATTCTGTGAATTATATTCAAATTCAAATCTTATCATCCTCGTCACTGACTTCGTGTTCCTGTTTTTGAAGGTCACCTCTTTTAATTATCTCTTTTTCTGCCTCCATGGAAAGGCAGACCAGCTGCCACTTTTGATGGCAAAAGAAAAGGCATTGCCACCTTTTGTCACATCTCATCCATCATGCAAGCAAGCAACTCTGTTTTTTCATCCATTGCCCCCAGCTTAGGTGTCTGAGGGATTAGGATTATACTATCCCAAACCAATTGTTTAATTGGTCATGGGACTATTGATTACACCTTGATGCATGTTTGCTTGCTCATAAACGATAGTAAATTTTCAGCCGGGAACAGTGTTTTTCTCTCACACCAAATCAGCCAGTAGTAAATAATCCACGATACGATACGGCCTCTCGAACAGGCTGACTAGTGATGGCATGCCAGTGGTGGTCCCTGCAGGTCAGAGTTTTTACACCAAGGAACGTACTCGTACTACGGCAATTGCAAGTTTGCAACTCACAAATCTCAGTAGACGCGTCACGCGTACTAGGCTATAAGACGTATTTTAAGGCACCTAGGATTTGTTCATGTACACGTCCACATTGCAAAAAATTAAAAAAAAAAATGCTCTCTCTATGAGAGGTTGAGCCAACTTAGGCCTAGGCAGGTGATTCGATGTGAACAGTGAACTCTGTAATGTTTCGGTATTGCAAGGGTTCGGCTGGTTTTTACACATCTGTTAAAGAAGTAGAAACTAAACAATAATGATTTTGAGAAGAAAGTTTCAATAAGGAGTCTCTTTATTTGAAAAGCAAATGGTTTTTGAAAATAGTTTCTCTAAACAGATTTTTTTGAATAGTTTTTAGGAGAAGTACTCCCATCCCACAAAAAGAATCATTGTACGAGTTAGGAGATATAACAATGTAATTGTCAAATACCCCTACAAAAATTTAGCTTATATTGTCTGTTCTAGTGAGTTAAGATAGAAAGTATGTAGGTGAAACCCATATGTTTGCTTATAATAACACTCTTTGTAGAACAAAAGTGAAATGTTAGAATGACACTCCATGGGACGAAGAGAGTGAGTTTCTCCCAATTTAGGGGAAAGCTCAAACAAACTTTTAATATATATGCCTTTGAATACAGAATAGTACGTTTAATTAATTTGCCAATGGCCATCTGTGCACAAAGCCACCAAACTACAACCTAGTTGTTCCTCCAATCCACAAAAAGAAGTCACTGTTCACAAAACTTTATTACAAATTAGTTTTGCATGTTGAGCTTGGATATTTGAAAATGGCATAATTAGTTTTATATTTAAAAAAATCATATACGTCGTAACCATTTACGCGTCATAAATCTATATGCAAATCACTCTGAGACTTATTTTATGGACATGTGTCCATGTCCAAAACAATATTAATTCTAACATACTAATATATGGAAGGGAGCATATGAGAGGCCATACAATATTCGCCCTAAAAACCGTAAAGGGTTCGAGTTGTCGTAAGTTAAATTATTATTATTGTAAATAAATTTAGTAATATTTATAAAAATAAAGAATAATACTTGCGACATCACCTCAATATTACTAACTTAGTAGAACTAAATACAATTTAACTTAGTACTAACTTAGTAAGCAGGACCTGAAATGGATGTTCGTAGAATCGCGAAGCCCAAGCGCCGAGCGCGCGGCCGGTCTAGCCTAGCCCACTGACCTGCCAGCCGAACTCTCGAGTCAAGAAGTCCCCGGAAGGACGGAACCACAACCCCACCAGCGCCGCCATCCACGTGGCCTGGGCACCTCGCCTCGCCCGCGGCCCACCCGATGCCACCGCGCTCGTGCATCCAGTCAGGCGGCGGCAAACTGATGCCACCGCGCTTATCCGCCTGAGAAACCATCAGCCTAAATTATTGTTACGGCTACGACGTGGCAATTGGAGAGCCCACCTGCCCTGCACCTCTCGAAGCCGCTCACGTGCGACGTGCGCACCTCGCGCCAGCATGCGTGCGCAGCCACGGAGCCACATGATTCAGACATTCAGTGCGGCGTGGGCACGGCCTGACCTGAACCGGCTAACACGTGACGGGCTGCACCTGATGCCGCTTGGGTGCCGCGAACAGACGGCCGCTCATCAGTTTGCTTTGAAAGGACAAGTCTAAGAAAAAACAACAAAAAAAGGGTGACGGTCGCTCATCAGCTTCCTTGTGAACATAAAAGTCTGGGTAAGAAAGTCAGAAAGTCTGGGCAAGAAATAAGCAACCACAAAAAGGAGAAACTCTAAGAAACAAATAACCAAAAAAAAAGGGAAACTCTGGGCAAGAAAATAAATCAAAAAGTCTGGGCAAGAAATAAACAACCAAAAAAGGGAAAGTCTAAGAAATATAAACACCAAAAGAAAGGAAACTCTGGGCAAGAAAAAAATCAGAAAGTCTGGGCAAGAAATAAACAACCAAAAGAAAGGAAAGTCTAAGAAATAAACAACAAAAAAAAGGAAAGTCTGGACAAGAAAAAAATTTAACAACCAAACCAGAAAAAAGGAAAGTCTAATCTCAGAAATAAAGAACCAAAAAAAAGGAAAGTCTGGGCAAAAAAAAAATACCAGGAAAACATCCGACCTGCCGGATTCGGGGCAGCGACCTGTGGATTTCATCGGCAGCGAACTACAGTCCTCCGCTCAACCAACTGAGATAAGGTCGGCTAGTAATTTGTTTTTTGTCATGTTATTCTTTGAATATGTGGGGTGTCTGGTTTCTACTCAAAAGTAATGAAGTAATCATAGCTACTGTTAGACCATCTACAATAGTTCCAAAAAACAATTGCTAAATTGATGAGTTTTCCTTGCAACTAAAAGGTTTAGGAGCATATTTGTTAGGTTGCTTCAACGGTTTTCAAAATCTCGCTCCAAGAATTTATATAAGATAATTTTACAGCAGGAGTTCTGGGCTATTTTTAGATCACCTTAACCACTTTTATATGCCTGTCTGGCTATACATTTGCATTCGAAACCCTATCCTCCACATTGGCCGATCGGTACGCGGGCGTACATTTCCGAGCGATTGGGTCGATTTTCTGAAATGCGGAAAGATTGGAAGATGAGATAGGGAGCAGTTTTTTTAAATATTGGTAAGAAATGAAGATTGAGATTAGATTTTGGAAACTCTTGGAAATGCTCTTTACAGAGAGATCAAATGTGTCCAGGGCTCGAGGCCCAAGTGTTGTAAAGTGCGTAGGACATGAATCATGCTTCTTTGCGCTGGCGGATAGTGTTCGCTACATGGGAAAGGTGTCCACATCATTTCCCACTAAGTGACCCACTATGTTCTACCTCTTTATGCAAGGTGTCCACATCATTCCCCACTAAGCCCATGTCATCCTTTCTCTTTCATGCAAGGTGTTCACATTATTTTCCACTAAATGACCCACTAGATGTTATATCTCTTCATGCAAGGTGTTCACCCATCATTCGCCACTAAACCCATATCATCTCTTATCAATTACAAAAATGTCCACGTCATCTCTATCATATGCAATACTTTGTTTCATCATATATTCCTCTATAATTAATCAAATAGTCTATTGGTTTTTCTTCTATTAGCTTATCGATTTTTTAACAAACTTGATATAATAAAATAACATGCAAGTCAAATTTATATATATAATATAGAATACCATATGATAATGCTACGTATGTAACATATTTATTTTTAAGAAAATCCTACAGGAACGCGCGGGGTAGTCTTGATATACCATTAGCCTTGTCTTCTGATGACCCATGTCGCACGCGTTGCATGGCATGTTAGGACCTAAACATAAGATGCCAATGATATTATTAAAATAACAGTTACACTTTCGTTATTTTACATAGAGACTTACCAAAATCTTTTTAATCCATATAAGTTTATTAATACCATTATATTTCTATATTTT